TGTATTGGGGTTATATAGGGGGAATGGAAAATAAAATGGAAACTACTATAGTGGGTTATATAGGGGTTATGTAGGGGTTATATTGGGGTTATATAGGGATAATGGAAAACAAAATGGAAGCTACTTTATCATATATAGAGGTTCTATAGGGTAGTATAGGGGTCATATAACCCTAAATGATTACCAATACTGTGGTCCCTTTAAACGGGTTAAATAGGGGTGCTTTTGCGACTTTCTGGGTGGTCCTGGTGCCAGTGCAGTTTCCTAACCCCTAAACCCTAGACCACTACACCCCTAAACCCCTTAACCTTAAACCCTAAACCACTGAACCCTAAACCCCTAAACCTTAAATATTAAACCCTAAACCCCTGAACCCTAAACCCCTATACAAACCTTAAAACCTAAACCCTAAACCCTAAAAATTTCCCTGCTGGGCTCTAGGCTCAAGCTGGACCTGGAACTGCTCCTCTTGCTCTACGCTCTTCTCCTGTTTTTTCAGCACCTGAGGGTTGAGGGTTTAGGGTATCTCCCCATTGGGGTTACAAAGGGATAATGGAAAAGAAGATGGAAACTACTATAATGGGTTATATAGGGTATAGAATATGGAGTATTATAGAATATGGGGTATAAGGGGACTGAATGTGAGCACTCAGAGTGTGCGGAAACGCTTCAGCGCATGGAGTTAGAGGTGCCCTGCCTGAGCGCTGGGTTTGAAATCCTTCACATCCTGCTCCTCTTCACCTGCAAGCTAAGTTGCAGGAAGTGAAGTGTCCTATGGCCGGCTTTACCTTTGGATAGTTCTTTTATGTGGCAGTGGAACGTTGACACCAGATGCTGTTCAGGCGCCGAACAACACTTTCCCCTTGGCGTCACTCTCCGCCTTTCCTGCACGGGACCTGAGACGGCAGACTTCCTTCTGTCAAACTCTACGGGAGTTACAATGAAGCCATCAACACGCAATCAGTCCCCTAAGCGGAAGAGACATGAGATCTTCCGGGTTGCCCACTCAAGGGCACGCAGCGTGTGCTGGAGGATGCCCTGACTCTTCCTCAAGTGATCGCAATCTGGTGGACAGGCTGGGGGCAATGATTCGGGGTCAGTGGAGTAATTCAGGTTGGCCTTGTGGTTGCATTTGCCAGTGCGCACCATGTCCCTTTTGCTACGACTCAAGTCTAATTCCTTGAGGCCTCCAGACCCGCAAAGAATCATGGAGTTGATCGATGCCCTACAAATATGCTTATCCATTTTACAATCAAGTCTGGAGCAGTCCATGTCTGAGGCCCTCACCGGTTGGCCGTGCCGCTCACCTCCAAATCCTGTCGCAGGAGGGCATGCAGGTGGAAGGCGTTCAAGGTGGCTCTGCGTAGTTGCAGTCTGGTCGTTATCTCGAACATCACATCGAACCCTCAGATGCGCCTTCAGCTCCTGCTGGAGTTCCTTCACGTTCGCGAAGACTTTCTTGTAGCAGGCAACCTTTGGCCTGAACCCCGGACACAAAGCGCAAAACATCTTTGCTGAAGGCATCCAAGGAAAGCGGAGGAAGCTGCTAAGAGTGCATGGCATGTGGCAGCTACCATGACATGACTTGAATGGGTTGCAGCGACATCTGTCTCAAAGCTCTCGGGCCTGTTCTTCTCCACAAGCCCAGCCTCCAAACGCTCCTGTCAAGGTGATTGCCGCAATGTTTGGTACAAATCGGGCTGACAGACGAGTAGTCTCTTTACGCCTGTCTCATCCTGGTCCCACCCTTCCATGCTGCTGAGCTACTTTCTCGATCTGCGTGCTGATGGCAATCTTGTGAAGGGCAACCTTGGATCGTATAAAGAAATCCAATCCGGTGCTGGCGCATCACGAAAGTCCATGCCATCAGAGGGGCGGTTTGCTCGTGCTTTTGCTTTCTCTCTTCACGAAGCTTCTCTTCAGCCTTACACGACAAACTTGAGCAGCAAAACCATCCCAGTACTTGCGCGTCAAATAGCAGCCTTTGGGCCGGAAGGAACCCCAAGAGTAATTGCATCTTTGCTTTCTGGCAGTTCGCTTTGCTACCATCTTTTTATTGAAGTCCACAAGAGGGCTTCCCAACAGTAGAGGTTGCTTTATGGAGGTCCCTATCATAAGGATTACAGTATCTTGGATTTATATGGGGGTCCCCCTGTTTTGGGAAACAACCACAAGTCGTAAGTGCTTGCAATCCAGCCAGAATGGCCTGCTTGGCCTCGTCCTGATGCTTCCTTTTGACTGCATCGACCTGGAGACGAAGACGGGTGCAAGAACCTGCCCCCTAGACCCTACACCCTACACCCAAACCCTAAACTCTGAACCCTAATTAAACCCTACACTCTACACCGTGGGCCTAGACCCTAGGTCCTTGCCTCCGGCCGGACTTTTTCCAGTGCGGCCTTCAGCGCTGTAGCCGCAGCCTGGCTTGCTAGGACCCTCCCCCAAAAAAATGTATACTGTATACGTGTGTGTATATATATATATATCATTATTTGGAGGAGGATAACGCATTACTTCAACTGCAACAGGCTTTGTTGTTGATCCACCCTTTCTCTTCTCAGCAGAGGGTAGCTTCAGGCCAAAGGCTTTCACTTGCTTGGGCTTAAATTGCTTGGATTGAGTTTGCAGCTCAACCCACCTTGCTCTCGGACATCAGGGTCGTGTGCTCCTCTGACGGTGCTTGGTACAAAGGTTACCGATGAGTTGAGGGGTGTGCGGTCCCGGCACACGGCTTGCAACCAGCAAGTCCTGCTCCAAGGGCTTTAAAACCTTGTTTCGTGCAGCCGTGGCCCGCTCAACGGCCTACGGCAAGATCCGCCACAACGGCACTCTAAAGCAAGCGAAGCCAGCGAAGGGATCGGCCTTGTTCACAGCCTCCTCCCCAGCAGCGACAAGCGCAGCCAGTGCAGCGGAATCTTGCGGCTGAGTGCTCTTGCCTGCGCTTTAGGATCACAAGAAGAATGAGCAGTGGCCATCATGGCATGCGCCACTGCACAGTTCTCACCACTCGAAATTCTTCCAGCAGCCAAAGGACCAAAGGACAGTATGGGTTGGAGGTCCTGCACTCGTGCCGTCCATCTGAGCAAAATGGGCTTTTCAGACTGTTCTGCGAACTGCTAGGTTTAACGGCTTGGGACATTCGATCGCATAACAGCCAATATCCACATTTTGCAAAAACGAACAGAAAGACGGAAGCTTCCCGAAATCTGAGACTTCTGGCTTGTGGAAGTTTCAGTAACTTGAAGTTTGAGTAACGGCTGCGAGCTGTCCTAATTCAGGAGCTGTCCTCATTCAAATTGCCCATCCATTTGACACCATATGGATTCAGTCGACAAAGGCCATCACTCTCAAGTTATGCATCCCCTTTTTGATCCCCATATAATCTCTATGTAATCCCAACATAATCCCCATATAATACACATGTAACCCCTACATATTCTTTATTCCTTTGGGATACCAACACGGACCCTGTACACCCTGCAGCCCCTCAAGGCAAGCCGGGCTAGTTGGCACGTGGCCTGTGGCATAGAGCTCCACGTGCAATTTCCTCTTCAATGAATGAAGGCCTGGCCACATGAGCTTTTTGTCTACCCTCCTAGTATCCCCTTATATAGTCCTCTATGTAACCCTCTTTAAAGAAGTGTAGACCTGAGCTCAAATACCACAGATAGTCATAGAAGCGGCAGGATCAGCAACTTCATCACCTAGAAACCCGCAAACCTGTAAATCCAGGATGCTTTGGGATTCGGGGTTAGGCAGAATGGAAAAAGGCGAGAGCACCACATTCTGTGCCTGACTGTAGCACTTGCAGCGCCGTAGCTGCACCTCCAGGTGACCTCACAGCGGCACCAATCTTGATAAATTCTGCGAGCATCAAAAGTCTGGCAAAAGAAGGCGTCACGACAGACCTTCCTAAGCATCCAAAAACTCTGATACACAGGTTTGACTCCGATTCATTTAGTGCCTCTGGTGCCTCATCGTGGCTGGGCTCCCGACGCCGCAGAGCGACGGGCCGCTGCGATGGACCAGGAGGTCAGGAGGAGGTCAGAGACCTGACCCAACGCCCAAGCCGTCACAAGTTTAGAAGTTCCGTTCTGAGGTTTCGGAACAGAACAATATGGGTGGTTGTCAAAATTATGGTCCCTCTTTGGGCACCCTAAATACTAGGTGCCGTATTATAATAAGGATCCAACCACCCATATATCTCTTACAAGGTGGCTCGAAGTTGCCTCTCGGACGGCATCTTCAGATGTCAGCCGGATGAGCACCTTGAAGTTGCTTCGGGGCAAGCGGATACAGGCTGCTTTGCACAAGCTGGATTCAAAAATCTCTTCTCACGTCATGACTAAGACTTGCTTGCTGTTGGACAGTGCCTTCTGACGATGTTGCTGTATCATTAAATCAGATGGAGCGTTGCTAGGAAGGAGAGTCCAAAGCAAGCAGGCGGGTCTTCTACCCGGATGCCAGGTACATAACCCCCAATAAGGTAGTAGTTTCCCCTTGTCTCTTCCTTCCCCCTATATACCTCCAAAAGCATCCTGATCCTGTAAATTATCCCTACAGCCCAGAGCTACCACTCTCAGCCCGGAACACCATGGTCCACGGCCAGGGCCTTGCAGATGAACTTGTCGAAGACCAAATCCTGACCTGGCATGCAGGGGGCCAGGCTCTTGAAAGCAAAAGCTTCAGACATGTTCATAATTCTTACGCCTTACCATCACTCAGCCCACCAAGTGCAACACAGAATCTGCAGAGATGACAATCAAATCCCAACGCGGAAGCCCCAACTCCAGCAGAAGCCCTGGAGACCAAGCACAAAACAAGGTTGCACAGGCCTTGTCCCACGATTTGGGTCTGCAGCAGGGCCCGGATGCGGTGCTTGGCCCGACGCTTGCACATGCCAAGAGCGGCCTCAGCTAGGTCAGAGCAAAGGGCCTTGAGCTCAAATGCAGATATCTTGTCAGGCTTACCGGGGTGCACTGGACATGGCGCTTGTCTGGCAAAGTCATTTCAGATTTGTTTAATCTCGTGTTAGGAAATTCCTTTGCAGGCTTGGCCCGAGGTTTGCAAAAGAGTTGTTTCTTCCAGGTCATGGCTCAGGGCTTGGGGTCTAGGATTCGCGAACACACGCTCTCCTCGTGCTCTCAAGAGGTTGGGGATAAAGGCAATCACCTAATGTCAGAGTCTTGGCAGCAGGCTATATTAAATGCGTTTGCCGCTGTTTGTCGTTGTCCGTTTGAGTGGTGCCAGGGCTTGGGACACGGCTGGCCAACCCGCTTTCGAGTGCGGGGCTTGGTGCTCCCTTTTTCCAAGGCTTAGATTTCAGGATGCAGCCTGAGGGCTCTAGGATGAGATGAGGGGCTCAGCGTTTGGTGTGGGACAAGTGTCCCTTCACTCACAGAAGACTACTAACAACACGACTCTCGGCTGCTTCTCTTTCTCAAAGAAAGGGATACACGAGCGAGGCCCAATGATGACAAAAAAAATCACAAGCCATGCCTTATGCACTCAGGCGCCTGGGCTTTTGGGATATCTTGCTTTCTTGCAAAGGATCCATCGGGTCTGGATCCGGGTTGGGGTTCGGGGTGGAAGGTGGGTGTGGGTTGGTGGGCGGGTCTGCGTCAAGGTCAAGGTCTGGGCTACTTCTACTCTTATGGGGGCCAAGTAGGAAGAGCGGTAGCTGTAGTAATAGTAGCAGCAGAAAAAGTTACAATACTACCCTACTGTTGATACTAAAAATCCTCCGTGACCTTAATGTACTATAGTCCCATTATTCCCAAGGTATAAGGTACTTGGGGTCATGCAGGATTTTCATTATCCACCCTAGGTTGTGGGAAGAGGATAATATCTACGTGACAGTACGTGGCAGGAATGTGCCAAGCACTAACCTGCAAGCCGTGAGCCCACAAGCCTGACAGAACCTGAAAATCAAAGCTGAACACCCAAACCTCAAACCTGCACGCCCCTAAACCGCAAAAGCTTCAAAACCCCAACCCTTAACGCCAGAGATCTCGGTCCGGAAATCATACACCCTTCTCCCTGAAGACCCTGAATCCCATGATGACAAGCAGTTACGTGCACCAACACAAGCGAAAAAGCACCAAAAGCGCGAAACACGCACCACAACAAACCCTAGACGGAAAATCGAAGGCCTAATCCCTAAAGAACCCCAATCCTTGAAGAACTCCAAACTGTAGACTCTAAATCGTGAAGAACCATAAGCCCCCAGCAGGAGAACCCCCGACCAAAATCCCAACAGAACCTGAAGCCGACCCGAATCTTCAAGAGCCCAACGCTCCAAACCCTAGACCACCGCAATCCCTATGCGGTCTAAATCCTAAACCCTAACCAGCCCCAAACAACCCAAAAGAACCAACAAAAAAAAAAAAGAAAACAAAAATCAAGAACTAGAAAACGAACCGTCAAAAACCAGAAAACGAACCCTCAAGAACTAGAAAACGAAGCCTCAAGAACTAGAAAACGAACCGTCAAAAACCAGAGAACGAACCGTCAAGAACTGGAAAGCAAACCCTTAAGAACTAGAAAACGAACCCACAAGAAGTAGAAAACGAACCCTCAAGAAGTAGAAAAAGAACCCTCAAGAACTAGAAAACGAAGCCTCAAGAACTAGAAAACGAACCGTCAGGAACTGGAAAGCAAGCCCTTAAGAACTAGAAAACGAAACCTCAAGAACTAGAAAACCAACCCTCAATAACTAGAAAGCAAACCCTTAAGTACTAGAAAACGAACCCTCATGAACTGGATAACCAGCTAAACAGGCCTGACCTGACATAATCCCCGAAGAGCCCCAAGCCCTAAACCCTAAAGGGCCCCAAACACTGAGCCCTAAAGGCCCGCAAACCCTAAACCCTAAACCACCCCAAACCCTAGA